AACTCCATTTACCCTCTCAAGTCTCACCCCGGTAGTTGGTACCCTTGTTATCAACAATCCCTAACCCACTCAAGGCCGTCCCACTAATGAAAACCCGCTCGGACACGCTCGGACAGAGCCAACATCACCAGCAGCTCATTCTCCACGGGGCACGCCCACCTGGCACACCTTACGCCAGTAACCGTTCACCTGTATGGGAACCACAGTTCAACCAACACCAGGCACCACAAAACGGCAATTTTACCAACTCTCTGCACAACCACCGGCCAACACCACGTGGCCACCAAACCCTACGCCGGCCAGGCCGTGCACTCTGAGCTGCTACACCGAGAAAGCATGAGCTGATTCCACTCACGCGGAGTGTAGAATGGCAAAGTCCGGCGCTCCGTTCCAGGGAAGAAACAAAAAACAGTTACAGCTATGTTACACCTAGCAAATACCTACACCCAATCTCCCAAAATCTGAAGAACACACCAAGCCTATTTCTACCAGCAGTCCAAGTTTCGTTGTTTCATCTAACCTTCAAAGAACCTATAATACCGGGCATTTGCCGACCCATTGCTCATCGACCCTCTTCTTACCGTGATAGCATAACATAAACACAAAAAACCAGACCTCATGCCGAAAATGAAAAAAAATAAGACAGAAACAACAAACCAGTAAAAAATAAACATAAAAACCCCGAGAGGAAAAAAAACATGCTCGTCAATCAATATAACATTGATATAAAACCGAACTTATACTCCCCTTGATGTCTTCCAGCTTCCACTGAACACGACCGCAGTAAAACGCAAAAACATTTCAGAGCGAGAACACTGCTGACTCGCGTCAGACCGGGCGGCTTAGAACAGAGTGACCGCGCAAATGCACTCAAACCCCGCGCCGTCACCGTCACGTGACACAAGTCGCTCCACCAATCAGATGAGGCCGCCGCCTTAGCGGCCTTGCCGCCCGGGGGCGCAGGCGGCCGCCCGCCTGCCGCCGAACGCTGCTCGCAGAGGCCGGCCCGGCTCCGGGGCCGCCCCAAAGACGCTCGTTGTGTCGCGGAAAAAACCGGTTATATCTTGTCATATATAACCGGGCGTATTTAAACAGGGCTGCTGAGTCGGAGTCGGAGTCGGTCGGAGTCGACAGTTCGGACCGGAGTCGGAGTCGGAGTCAATTTTGGAAACCGGAGCCGGAGTCGGGGTCGGAGTCACCGAAAATCCTTCGACTCCGCAGCCCTGCCAGGCCTCTACGGAGTCGGAGTCGGATTTGGAGGCCGTCGGAGTCGACATTTCTGTCTGGAGTCAGAGTTGGTTTTTGAAAGCCGGAGTCGGAGTCGGAGTCACCGACAATCCATGCACTCCGCATTCCGCAACCCTGATTTTAAATAACGATTTTCTTAAGAGATGCAATTTGTGGGCTTCCGTTTTAAGTATGAACCGTTAAAGCTGCTTATCATTCAATTTTCGACATTCCAATACCCTGTAACCATCATCACGATAGACAGGCATTGATTCCCAAGCAGATATATCGTCGACGACTCAAACAGTTCAGGTTCTGTCTTCTTTCCCTCAGAACGCAATGAAGCAGGTATGTTTGGCAGGTATACGTTCATTGCTGAGCTATTTCCTAAGAACCCATCATTTTACGCCTCCATTTCCCCTCCTGCTTTATAGAGCCTCCTCACGCCACAGGGACATCAGCATTGACGTCCTGTCCCACAGGATATTTACGTTGGACAGGCGTGTCCAGATATCGCCACACAGGTGTAAACAGAGCTGCGTGCGAGCCGTCCTTGTCGCCGCTTCCAGCAGCGCGCCGGCCGGCGATCCATTGTTCGATCACCCAGTGGCCTCCTCATTCCCTAGCAACGAGCCAAAACATTGCCCCCTACAGTGTCTGACAGGCAGGCGGAGCTAATAGCAGCGCCCCAGTACTGGATACATGTCCCGAGTTGTGTGTCAGAGGCTGTACTGGCTGGTCGGAGAAGTTTTACCAGAACACCTGCAGATCACTTACGTGTGAGTGTCCATTCGGGAAACGTCCCTTGAGGTCTTTCCCGGCATCAGGCCAGGTCCGATTATCGCTGAGGCAACACGTCCAGAGTCGATTCTCGTTCTTCCTTTCTCGTATCTCATTTCCCTCCACCATGCGTGAGGTGATCTCCATTCACATCGGCCAGGCCGGTGTCCAAATGGGCAACGCCTGCTGGGAACTCTACTGCCTCGAGCACGGCATCCAGCCCGACGGCCAGATGCCATCCGACACCAACACGGCCAACGACGACAGCTTCAACACGTTCTTCTCCGAGACGGGCTCCGGTAAGCATGTGCCGCGCGCCATGTTCATAGACCTCGAGCCAACTGTGATTGACGAGGTGCGCACGGGCACGTACCGCCAACTCTTCCACCCGTCTCAGCTTCAGTCCGGCAAGGAGGACGCCGCCAACAACTACGCCCGCGGACACTACACCATCGGCAAGGAGGTCGACGAGGTGTCCATGGACCGCATCAGGAAGCTGGCCGACCAGTGCACCGGCCTGCAGGGCTTCCTCATCTTCCACTCGTTCGGCGGCGGCACCGGCTCCGGCTTCACCTCGATGTTGATGGAGCGGCTTAGCGTCGACTACGGCAAGAAGTCCAAGCTGTGCTTCTCGATCTACCCAGCCCCGCAAGTGGCCACAGCCGTGGTGGAGCCGTACAACGCACTGCTCTTCACGCACACAACTCTGGAGCACACTGAGGTGGAATTTATGGTCGACAACGAGGCCATTTACCAGCTGTGCCAGAAGAACCTGGACATCGAGCGCCCGACGTACACCAACCTGAACCGGCTCATCAGCCAAGTGGTCTCCTCAATCACTGCCTCGTTGCGCTTCGAAGGAGCGCTCAACGTGGACCTCACGGAGTTCCAGACGAACCTGGTGCCGTATCCGCGCATCCACTTCCCGCTAGTCACCTACGCACCAGTCATCTCGGCCGAGAAGGCCCAGCACGAGAAGATGTCGGTGGATGAAGTTACGAAGGCCTGCTTCAACCCTGACAACCAGATGGTCAAGTGTGATCCTCGAGGAGGCAAGTACATGGCCTGCTGTCTCCTGTACCGTGGTGATGTGGTTCCCAAGGACGTCAACGCCGCCATCGCCTCAATCAAGAACCAGCGCACCATTGAGTTCGTCGAATGGTGTCCGACCGGCTTCAAGGTGGGCATCAACTACCAGCCGCCGACCGTGGTGCCCGGCGGCGACCTGGCTAAGATGCAGCGCGCTGTCTGCATGCTGTCCAACACCACTGCCATCCAGGACGCCTGGGCGCGCCTAGACCACAAGTTCGACCTGATGTACGCCAAGCGCGCCTTCGTGCACTGGTACGTCGGCGAGGGCATGGAGGAGGGTGAGTTCTCCGAGGCCCGTGAGGATCTGGCCGCTCTGGAGAAGGATTATGAAGAGGTTGGTGCAGGAGTAGTTGATAACGACGAAGAAGATGAGTACTAGAAATAATATCAAAGGAGCCAAACACATTTGAAGCGGGCGTCCTGCTACAACAGAATCGCATCAGTTTTCACTTATGTTAAAGCCGAGCTTACGTGGAGTCATGCACTTAACCGGATCTTTTTGAACCGAGCATCGTGTAGGTTACGACGTGTTTCATGATTGTTACGTGCACTTCACAACACACATTGGGTGATATCCCGCCTAGTCACTTTCGTAAATTTATAATACTGTTACAACACATGCGGACATGTGTCCGCATTTTATGTTGCGTTTTTAACTAGATGTGTGAATTATAAAGTTCACCCACAAACCGTTCACTAGTTCTACATGATGCATCTATGACATTCACAGTATAATACGACCGATCTGCTTCGCCAATAAGATAGACGCGGAAATACCGACTATTCCTATCAGAATCTGGCCTATCGTGATCCAAAATCATCGCACCATTCAGCACTGTTTGTTCCCGAGGGAGGGAAGTCCGCGTTCGGCGTCACCCAGGCAGCAGAGCTGCAAACAACCGAATCGGGTATTGACCACGGGACCCGTAGCACGGCGACCGGCCGCGGATGCGGCGCCCGATATCGGAGGGCGATCAAACCGATTTTAGCCGCACCAAAACTCCTCGATGTGGGTGTGTTTTGTGCGCATTCTGTGGAGTTTGTGCGCATCAGCTCTGCGACTGTCGTGTGCTATCAGCGTTGTTCGTCGCGGGCGTTGAGTGTGAGTGTGACGAGTGGTCCTGGACTCCTGAGTTCTGCACCGCGTCTGTCTGGATGTGTGACTGCAGCAGCTGTTACTGGCATCTCTAAACTCAAATGGCAGTACCATCGACCGTAACTCGCGGTGGAATACCATGCTGTGACATGCTTTATCGAAATAAAATGGCATAAACAAACAGTTAACACTGTTCACAGTTCTTTGAAGGGGTTGCGATCTCCACGCGGCATTCACTGCAGTTTTTCGCCAATCAGATAGCTAGATTCAAAGTGATCGTATATACCTTAGGAGAAAAAAAGCAGCGTCACACACAGTTGCAGCGTAGCCATAGCTACATACCAGGAACCTGATAGCAAGACCTTTTCGCACTGACGATTGAGGGAGCCACTAGCCAGCCAAACCTCGGCGACCCGGGAAGGTTCGGTCCGCTAGCCGCTCGTGACTCAGCCGGGGAACTTGGAGAGCCCCAGACATCAGAACTTGAGCCACCCGCACCGTCCCCAGTCTACACCAATGCACCGACAGCTCCGTTGCAGCCTCTGGCGACCGTAGCGGTGCCCACTCCGGCGGTATAGCACGGTGTAGCCTGAGTGGGATCGGGGAGGGGGAGGGGGAACCGAGAAAAGGATAAGGCCGCGTCAGGACTAACTGCTAGCGCATTTTATACTGCACGCCCATCATACCCGATCTCCTTTCAGAAAGAACACAAAAAGATGCATGGTTCCCGCAAGACAAGACACCCAGTTCGCTAGAGTGGTAGTTTGGTTAGGTGGAAGCTTTGACTTAGGTATTAAAACAGAACTGATTTCAAAAATGTATTTCAGAGCGTTTGAATTCAAGATAAAAACTGGCAACAGCATATCCACAGCAAATAGCGGTAGCATACTCATGGGATAGAGAATAAGAAGATAACCGGAGGAATCAAAGATACCGCATAGCTGCTACTGGGATCACATGGGAATGCCTTAGGGGAAACTCAAACCAACAGCTGTGCCCATCAACTACCTTCTGGCTTCTACATCACAATGTTAACTCACAAATCTAGGTCAGCGAAGCGCGTGAAAGATGCTAACCAAAGGGGCATTGCGCGCGCGACGCCTGGGCTGGTCGGGGATAGATGGCATTGGAGTAGGACCGAGCGACGCGTTCGAACACCGCCGCTGGCCGAGGCCGGCCGACGCTGAGTCAGTCTCTAAGTCGCGGACGGTGGCCAGCGCTCCCCACTGGCCTGTCCGAGTCTGAGCCAGTCCTCTACACTGCACTGCATCAGCCGCGCCGGGATCACAATCAACAAACACTCGACCCGATCGCGGTCGGCTGGGCTCGCGCGTTCACATGGTTCAATGTCCGCCAGGCTGTCCGCGCGCCGTGTGGCCCGCTCGGAGGTCCGCGGCGGGACCCGCTCCTGGATCGCACAGAGCGGCGCGCGGACGCCGGCGCCGGGTTAAGTTCCACTCTCCCCCGACTGCCTACTTCTCCTCGCACCACTCGTTCTCCTTGCGGACTTGCTCCTCCTCGATAGGAGTGAAGTCGTTCTTGATGTTGAAAGTCTTTCGGATCTCCTCGGGCGTCTTGCCCTTGATCATGTTGGCCACTGTCTTGCACGTGACGTCCAGAAGGCCCTTGATGTCCAAGTAGTTGGCCGCCTAAGTGACACACGAGACAGACGTGGTGGCACAGGGAATACAATGCTAGCGACAGCTACTGCTTTGACAATGCAATATCGTTTAATGACTGGAATATCTTATCTCGCCTTTGAATATTACAGACAGCATAGAGCTGGCAAATAACTAAGAGTAACATATTCAAGTTCTTGATTTTTGGCAGGCAGATACCACCAAATGCAATTATGACAATGGGTAGTATCTAATTCTAGCTGCATGCTTCTGAATGCAAATTATTACAGTCGAATTATAACCAAGCCGATACCTAAAATTACTTTAATTTAAAAAAGGCAAGATAGTCCGCTCAAACCATACGCCATTGAAAATAGGTATTTTGTAGCCGCTTACAATCAAATGTCACATAAACAAGTGGAGCAATCTGAATGGGATGATGCATACGAACAGACATTTCTTGTGAATGCCTGTATTATTCTGTCAATGTCATCCTGTCACCATGTGTTATCCCGTCATGTATATCCGACGAAATCATTGTGTATAATATTGTATAATGTATAATACTGTATAATATTGTGTTAGCTGTTAAGTGATGACCTGTTTCAATTACTTCCATTATTTTAAGTTTCAAGTATGTTGTTATTTTTCCCATTTTCATTCTTTCATTAATCTATTTAAAGATGGAAAACTAAAACGTAAATTTCTCCCACGGCGCCTGCATTTTCCCATTCATCTCGTTCGACACATAGAACCCAGCAGAGCGCTACTCACCAGGATGAGCTCGAAGAGCGTGCCCTGGTCCACCTTGAGGAAGTCGGCGTCCCAGCTGCTGATGTCGTCCGTCCTCTTCTGCTTGTTCTCGTCATCCTCGGGCTGCGGCGGGTCGTCCTTGTGGTGCGAGGCCCACTGCAGCACCTTGCGCAGGATGGCCGCGTTCACATTGGGCAGGGGGACGATCTCCTCCTCACCCTCATCAACGCCTGGGGAGAGTGCCGCAAACAACGTCAGAAAGCACGGTGGGGACGGTGGTCTTGACGCGGACCATGTCAGGGAGAAATGGCAGTCCTCAGGCCGCAGATTCGAGGTGTTTTGTTGGCACTGCTCTCCAGAAATGTGGCTATGCATATTGCATTGTGCGATGTGCATACCGCAGTTGCAAGTTTTATGCTATGGTCGATTGGGTGACTGTCAGGAAGAGATAAAGCTGAACCATTGGCCACCCTGAATTCCGTAATATTCATCACTGAAAAGGCTGAGTAGTTATAGAGCCAGTTGTTCAGCCAATGCTGCCCAGCGTTCACCACAAGGAAGAGCTGTTGGCAAATTGCCTGACGCACAATGTTATATCACACAAGGTCACAAGTCCACCTCTTCGTTCATACTCATAGCTGCTAAAATCACACACAAAATCTTACCTAGGTCTTCTAGCATCGTTTTGATGACAACAGAGGCCTTGGCAACTTCGACATCCACTTCAAAAACCTCCCCATCAGAGCTCTGGAGCTTGATGTTAGTCATGATGGCTCAGATGAAATGACACTATTATTTATTGCCACTCTGTCTTGTCAGGCAGAGATCAGATGTTTGCCACCCCTGCAAAATAAATCACATTTGACATAAGACATCTCACTTAGGTCAACACCTATGGTATTTGATTCATTCAGACCAACTACTCAACTCAACTGACTCAGAATTATTGAGGCCAGGTATACAAGGCATAATATGTAGAGTGTAGTAGGTATGAGCAAAACAGAATCATGTCAAGGAGTGGCAACCATTTAAGCATGTGACTGTGATTTGATACAGCCATTCCTTATAATATCAAGATGTTGCACATGCATGGATCTGAAAAATAGCTCTGGGATCTGATCAAATGGATCTTGATGATGTTGGATGTGATGAAATTATAGATCCAACCTCTTTGTTTTTAAGAGCTCTATTGAAATCATGATAAAACATATTGTTATCCATTGATCCATTGATATCAGACCCTAACATGACATTTGTTGAGATGGAGATGTTCTTTATCCACAGATTGCAAAACTTATACACAGATTGCAGATATACACAGATTGCACAGATTGCAAAACTTATGTATAGATGTTATACATAAAATAGATGTTAATAAATAGATGTTAAAAAATAGATAAAAAATAGTTAAAGATAAAAAAAGATAAAAAATAGTTAAAAAAAAGATAAAAAATAGTTAAAAAATAGATGTTACAAAACTTATACACAGATTGCAAAACTTATGTACAGATTGCAGTACCACTCAGTTCTAGTGTCACTTATAAGCATGCATTGTCTGGTATTATCATTTCACAGGTTGCATTCTTTGGGATTAGCAAAGATCAGATATTTGCACCTGATCTTTGCAAATGCCCTATTATTCAAAGTCGGTGAATACATGAAAACAAACAGCTTCCGAGAAGGCAGCTGTGCCAATGGTCGAGCGCGTGTTGTCATTGCTTTTTGGCAAAAATATAATGAGTGAAGATGGTCTCTTGCCCAACTAAAAAGTGTTAATTCATTACATAACTTAATTTTTCAAATCCATGCAGAGGGGTGTTCACGGGCACTGCACACTGCTGCGTGTGGTGTGTGCGGTGCGTCCAGCAGGCGTGGGGGTAGGGGATGGGTAGGCGGTTCTGACGTCACGGCTGCGTGCGGTGGACGGTCCGCTGTGGCCAGTCCCGACCGGCCACAGCGATCGCTGTGTGCGGTGACGGAAGGCTGACGTAGGGCCGCAGTGGGCGGAGCTTCGAGGCTGTGTGTGGTCCGACCGCACACAGGGCCCGTGAACAGCCCTCTGGATAGGATTGGAGGGACAATTATAGCCCCTGTAACCATTGCCCCAATGCAACATTTGCTGGGAAGAGTAGAGACTGCAGTCCACTGGCTAAGCACACATGAGTACATCCTGAATCTAATGTTGCAGCCTGTGGGCTCACAGCATGTGACCATGGTCTCAATAGAAAATTTGCAATGAATCAGTCGCCAGTCAGCTAATGATGCGGCAACTGGTCAGTGCCAACTCACGTGCTCACCGCTGGCACGGGCCGTAGCCCATACTAATTCCTGGATTATTTGCCAGCTGGTGCCATATGGTGGCGCTAGCAGAGCTTGTTATAAATGTATCAATGCTAGATATAAAAGACTAAATATCTAAAAATTATTTTTCTACAAGCGCCATTTTACTTGTTCATGTCCATCTTCTAAGTACTAGGTGCTATGTTTAAATCTATAAACACGGCGGCTATCACACATCACCAGCTGATTCAATACAGTTGTTAACAAGGGCCCTGGCAAGCTGAAATTATTTAACCTTTCAGAATTAGCATAAAGGTACCAACCGACGCGACCAATACCAATCAGCGCGACAAATGCAACATGATTTGATGTTCATGCACAATGTACAAAACCAGTCTGTGACTCTCTAGACTCGTCTTTTCTGCTCGAATATTTTCCGCTGACAGTGCCCACTCATGCTCTGCGAGCACGGTTACTGTTTCATGTCCCATATGGTCGAGTCAGCACAGTTCAATCAGGAATGTTTTGTAGAATGTTATGCAACAAGTTTTTAGATGTGTGTCGTGATGTAGATGTTTGGAACTCTAGCGCTGGCCAATTCCAATTCAAGAGCTCTGTTCTGGCTTATGTCATCACTCGTAGTGTGTAGATGCTTAACCTTAACTGCTAAGATGTTTTTATATTGTTTTTATCTCTGTATTTATCTTAACAGTTGCACACGTTTTTCTTAACGTAACAGTCTTTTAAGCGGTATTCGCTGAACTGTATTTTGGGCAATTCCACGACAAATCACCTAATTTTTTTCCAATTGTTCACCATGACCTCTCCGATTTTGCTCAAATTTGGCATGTAAGTTGACCTATGGGCACTACTTCGTCCCAGGAAATTTTTAGTCTCTAGGTCACAGGAGTCATGAGATATGGGTCATGCAAATTTTTAGGTTTTCCGGAACACTGAAATATAAAGTATTTTTTATCTCTGCAACGGTTCACCGGATCAAAAAAAGTTATATATGAAATAAGAAGCGCAAAGGCTGGTGCGTCTAGCAAAAATGTGAACGAAACCCCAGGGTCATTTTTTGACCCTTTGACCTCGTGACCTTTTCTTGACCCCGTGACCTTTCAAATTTGTCCTATTTTAAAAATTCTGATTTTTTCTATCAGAGATGTCTTATCCATGCTCTTAATAGTGGTATGTGATTTGGTTGGTATATCGGACCCATTGACCTCAAACTGAGGTCAACAATGTGGTCATGACCTGACATGAAAATGACATCTGACGAGAACGTCGAGAATCATAGGCAATATGGGTGTCATATGAAAGCTTACTTCACGGAGAATACATTGGTGGTGTTTTTGAGTAGGTATGGGCCGGGTCAAGGTCACATTAGGTCAGTGACCTAACACAGCATTGTGTTCTTTGAAGGTGGCGTATTTTATTTGTTTGGTAAGCCCAGTGATCAGCACACAATAAGAAGGAAACAAAACGTCATAAAACACCGTCTGCCTTTATTCAAAAAGCACAGATAAAATGCATTCACCCATATACACACACTCGCACAAACACACACACATACATACACCTTGTTCGAGGAAGATCTTTCAAACAAACCTCTAACACACGTGGTGTGAAGAACGAGTCTCAGAAGACTAGGAGAGCTTGAAGGCTGCTATGGTGTGGGAGTCGAGCGGTACAAAGCGGTGAAACGTCCTGGTACCTACTACCTACCCTTCACCGTGCGGGCACTTGTGAACCGTTCTCTTTCGTTTTCGTCTTCGTTCCTGCTATTTGCGTTGCCGAAACGAAGAAGAGATGCATTTTATCGGTAAGGTGGTCCTCACAGTATTACCAATACCATCGCATGCGCTTTTGCCATGCGAGGTGGCAAAAAATCCACTCACATTGAACACCGAAATCCTCGGCATGATGACATATATTTGCAAAATTGTATTTGTTCTTGTACTGGGACGCTGCTCCGTCAGAGAAGTAGTGTATTTTTTAGTCTTGGGCATTCATTTCCAATGTGGGGAATAACCACTGCCTGAAATGCCGCTTCAGCTCCCGCGTCAGCTCCCGCAACGCAAATAGCAGAAACGAAGACAAAAATGAAAGAACGCTTCACAAGTGCCCGCATGGTGAAGGGTACCAGGACGTTTCACCGCTTTGTACTGCTCGACTCCAATACCATAGCAGCCTTCAAGCTGTCCCGAGTCTTCTGAGACTCGTTCTTCACAGCGCGTGTGTCACTGGGGTTTGTTTGAAAGAACTTCCTCGAACAAGGTGTATGAATGTGTGTTTTTGCGAGTGTGTTTATATGGGTATGTGTGCATTTTATCTCTGCTTTTTGAATAAAAAAGACGTTTTATGACGTTTTGTTTCCTTTCTATTGTATGCTGATCTCTGGACTTACCAAACAAATAAAATACGCCACCTTCAAAGAACACAATGCTGTGTTAGGTCACTGACCTTATGTGACCTTGACCCGGCCCATACCTACTCAAAAACACCACCAATGTATTCTCCGTGAAGTTAGCTTTCATATGACACCCATATTGCCTATGATTCATGACGTTCTCGGCAGATGTCATTTTCATGTCAGGTCATGACCACATTGTTGACCTCAGTTTGAGGTCAACAGGTCCGATATACCAACCAAATCACATACCACTATTAAGAGCATGGATAAGACATCTCTGATAGAAAAAATCAGAATTTTTAAAATAGGACAAATTTGAAAGGTCACGGGGTCAAGAAAAGGTCACAAGGTCACAAGGTCAAAAAATGACCCTGAGGTTTCGCTCACATTTTTGCTAGACGCACCAGCCTGTGCGCTTATTATTTCATATATAACTTTTTTTGATACGGTGAACCGTTGCAGAGATAAAAAATACTTTATATTTCAATATTTCGGGAAACCTAAAAATTTGCATGACCCATATCTCATGACCCCTGCGACCTAGAGACTAAAAATTCACTGGGACGTAGTAGTGCCCATAGGTCAACTTGCATGCCAAATTTGAGCAAAATCGGAGAGGTCATGGTGAACATGCCTAGGTGATCTGTCATGGAATTGCCCTTTTAGAAGTGCATGTTGTGTTTCAACTGACTTCATCTGTGATTGGGGGCATACCCTATTGATGATTTACAAATAAACTAAACTAAACTAAACTAAACAACCAGGCCCTGAACCATTACACGCTGAATCTTGCGCTGAATGCATGCTTTACCAGTGGACAGCAGCTTCAGTCGGGGAAACTATGGTAAAATCTGCTATTTTTAGCAGTCTGCTATTTATAGCAGAAATCTGCTAAAAATGGGTACGCATGTGACGTCATCGTACCCAAATATAGCAGATTTGGGTACGGCCCCATACAAAAGCAGATCTGCACCCTAATTGAAGCAAATGCGCATCAAATGCCTGGCAGACTCATGATGAGAATAGTGCTGAGAGTGATATCTGCTATTTTTGTTCAGATCCGACTATTTTCAAATTCATTATTTGAAAATAGTCGGATCTGAACAAAAATATCAGATGACATTCTTAGCACTATTCTAATCATGAATCTGCCAGGCATTTGATGCGCATTTGCTTCAATTAGGGTGCAGAGGGGTGTTCACGGGCACCGCACACTGCTGCGTGCGGTGTGTGCGGTACGTCCAGCAGGCGTGGGGGTAGGGGATGGGTAGGCGGTTCTGACGTCACGGCTGCGTGCGGTGGACGGTCCGCTGTGGCCAGTCCCGACCGGCCACAGCGATCGCTGTGTGCGGTGACGGAAGGCTGACGTAGGGACGCGGTGGGCGGAGCTTCGAGGCTGTGTGCGGTCCGACCGCACACAGGGTCCGTGAACAGCCCTCAGATCTGCTTTTGTATGGGGCCGTACCCAAATCTGCTATATTTGGGTACGATGACGTCACATGCGTACCCTTTTTTAGCAGATTTCTGCTAAAAATAGCAGACTGCTAAAAATAGCAGATTTTACCATAGTTTCCCCGACTGGCTTTATTAAAATGAATACCAGATCTTAACCTATGCAACCAGTGCGCATAAATAATGTTCCAACTGAAACCATTTGAAATTCAAGTGAAATCATCTGTAATCATTTTGAATCATCTCAATCTTGATCTCAAGTGACCACTCACCAACGAGTCACACTGACCGGATGAACATCCTGTAACATAGGTAATACATATTCAAAAGGACTGCCATAACCAAAAAAAAATCCCACCAAAAGTGAGCCTTACCTTATTTCTATGTTTAACTTTCCTTGAATCACCCAGACGACCGCAACAATTTAAAACCCACTCAACCTCTCTGATAACCACCGTCATGAACCAGCACGTCACTTTGGTATGCCTTGTTCTGTTGTTCTTTGGTTGGATTTCCTGGCGGAAACGTCATGGAAATGTTGCAAGTTTCTAGGCAACCTCAGACCCTTGCTCAGACCGAAACAGTCACACGAGCTGGTTGCTAGGATATATGCGGTTAAAAGGTGAAGCGGAAGTGGGGAAGCCCCCGATTCTGAACAGCGACTCGCTTTTGTCCTGTCTTCGACAAACAAGGCGCTTATGGTGCAAAATCCAGAAAAATGCGAGTACTAAAATAAAAAACTGTCAATATCAACCAATTATCATTGTAAAATAGTGGCACTTACTACGCATTTCAGACCCTCTGGAACAGTCCTTTTTGGCCCTTTCTCGTTACCTATACGCTTGATTTCAACCAAACTTTGACACAATGTGTTTCAAGGGCCTACCTAATTTTTACTAATATGGTCTTTTAACAAAATGTCAAAATGAAAGGCACTTGTCGTTGACTTGTAATGGTAAAAATTGATCGGAAAACTCTGCACCGTGGTAGAGGCTAGCATGGCGTTGCAGCGTCAGCTGTTGCGCCGCAGCTAAGCTCCGCCCACTGTGCCGCGACACCGGGACCGGTCATTCGCCGCTCGGGGTGAGAGCGGTGCGGAGGTCTGACGGACTGAAACGAGACACACGCTAACGCAGGCATCATTGCGTGAATATTGTAAATGTCGTATCTCGCGCGGAGAGAATAAGGATGAAGAATTCAATGCAGATCGCGACGGTGTATGTATAAAACAATAAGCACTCCTAGCTACATAATGTTATTCCCTATGCAGACTTAAAATAATCTTATTTTCAATAATTTATAGCGAGCCTCTCCGCAACCGTTTTCCTACAGGCTATTGTGCATTTAACCCTCGCCCTGGCAGGGGGGGGTCGATGCGACCCCCCCCCCCCTAAGGTTTTTCGAAGATAGCGTAAAAACGGCGGCGCGCAGCGCCGCCAAATTTGGCATAGCCTATGGGGCAACCTTTTTACATATGACCTGAAAATTTCAGGTCCGGGTGACCTTGGGTCAGGTCACCAGGTCAGAAAAACCGGTACAAGGTCATGGTCAAATTTCAATTTTCTTTTTGCACCTGTCCAACTCACATTTTTTTACTGATTTCCTTCAAACTTTCAGGATGTGCTAAGTTCACCGAGTTGTATAACATATAGTCCGGCTTTTTTGAGGTCACTGACCTGAGGTCAGTTAGAGGCACTGGCGGTCGCAGCCGCTAGCAAAAGGGGGGGCCAAAGTCACACTCGCGGGACATAACATTTATCCGTCACCGGAGGGGGGGGGGGGGCTGATCGGCTATTTTTTTACGTCCACGAGGCGCCGCGCAGTTGGCATTACTTATGCTTCGTCCATCTCATTCTTACGTGAAATATTTAAGCTCAATTTAAGGCAAAATCACCAGTTCCATTTCCCGTCCCACGGTGCTTCCACCGGTCGGGCCACTGCACCATGATGCGGATCGGTGTAGCATAGGTATTCCAGTATACCTATTAGGTATACTGGAAGGTCAGGCACGCGGATTCATGACCTTACCACTATAAAACAATTCCGAAAAGTACAGATACCTCTTGCTTTGAACAAGCATGTGAAACCCAGAGAGCATTTTCAGACTATGACATTTACCCATATACAGGGTACGCCATAAAGATTTACCCATCGAAAAATGCACTGTATTTCCAAACGAGTTGACATAGGTAAGCCATTTTTTGCACACAAGTCACGAGATTATCTCCGAACAGGCTAGTCTGGCCGATTTCAGATGTGTTCGCCTTTTGCCTTGATCACACGTCTGAGACGCGAGGGCACTTCAGCGCACGTCCGCCGCACGGTCTCCTCGCTGATCCCCCTCCACGCTCTGAGGAGGTCGCGTCGCAGGTCGACCAAGCTGCTGTGGGGGACGTGGCAAGCCTGGCTCTCTAAGATAGACCAGATGGAAAAGTCCATGGGGTTCAGGTCTGGGCTGGACGGAGGCCAACAGTCCTTGGACCAGAACGCGCTCATGTTCTGCCGGCACCAGCTCTGGGTGTTGGCCGCTGTGTGGGCCGGCGCACCGTCTTGAGTGAAGACATACTGGTCGCCGTACCTCTCCTTCAGCCAAGGGAGCACTTCCCTCTCCAGCATCTGCACGTAGATGGCGCTGTTGACTTTGACTCCAGGTTCCACGAAGACCAGAGGAGATTTGGAACCGTCAGAGCCAACAGCAGCCCAAACCATCATGGTTTCTGGTTTCTGTCTTCGAAAATGATACTTTTTTGTTGCAGGTATGTCTTCGGTGCTCTTGGCGTATACCCGGTCGTTTTGGTTGTTGGATACTGACTCTACGTTGAAAATCTTCTCATCCGACCAGATAAAGGCATTTTGACCGGCGGACTTCATCTCTTCCAACATTGTTGTTGCCCTGCTCAGTCGCTTTTTCTTGGAACTTTCTGAAATCGTGTGCCGCTTTGACATCTTGTAGGCCTTCATTCTTAGCCTCCCTTTCACGAGTCTCCTCAAAGACGTTTTTGAGATATGCATCTCTTTTGACATCTCCCTCAAACTCCTCCTTGGATTTCTGGCTATTCTCTTCTTTACGGCCTCGGTGACACTTGAAGTTAGTACAGATCGTTTTCTGCCTGGAATTGGTCTGTCAGATGTTGTGCCATTCTCATTGTACCGTTTCATTACATTGTAAATGGTTTTACGGCACGCACCGACCTCTTTTGCAACGGCCCGGTCGGTGAAGCCGGCATTTTTTAGTGCAACGATTTTGTCACGTCTGCTTGTCCGGGTCATGGTGCATAAACTGTGTCATTCACCTAAAAAATAATTTGTTTTACATAAAAGTCACGTGTTTGCCTCGCGCATGCGCAATTTTCGGACCTCTATGTCTAAAAATAAAGTTTTGGCGAACAAGTTTGTGATGGGTAAATCTTTATGGCGCACCCTGTAGGTACAGTCACCAGCACTTGCTACTAATCACCTCGTTTTTGTTCAGTAGTTTGAAGACCGATCAATTCTCAGTCGCGCAAGATACGTCAAATGGTCCGTTTGGTCCTCCGATTTTCGAATATCTAACTTGTTTTTGTATAGTCGAAGCATTTTGGGATGGGGAGCCAAAAAACCTCTTTTCTGCCCTAAAGTGTGCCCCAAGAAGTCGTAGAACCTAGCCCCGCCTCTGATCCACAGACCACTAGTGCCATCTCTTGTCAGCCGAACAAACCGCAGAAGTAAATAATGTCACGTGACCTTTGCACACGCTACAATTACTACGCAGCCGTAGTGGGGGAAGCGGGGCGGAGGCGTGGAGAGGGACGCGATCGGTCGGCTGGGGTCAGGTCGCCGAGGTCAGAGGTCACCCGCCGGAGGGTGTTTGAGCGGTTGGGCCGTGTGGGCTGGGGCCTGCGGAGCGGGGAGCGCCTGGACCTGTCTGGAAACAAGTCCTACAACGCTGTGGCAGTCGAGAATATTGTGAGGAAAGAGAGAGAGAGAGAGAGAGAGAGAGAGAGAGAGAGAGAGAGAGAGAGAGAGAGAGAGAGAGAGAGGGAGAGAGAGAGAGAGAGAGAGAGAGAGAGAGAGAGAGAGAGAGAGAGAGAGAGGGAAAGGGAGAGGGAGAGGGAGAGGGAGAGGGAGAGGGAGAGGGAGAGAGAAGGAGAAAGAGAGCGTTGCATGGAAAGAATGGGACCAAAATTCGGCAGTGCCCCCCCCCCCTTGAAGGTTTTCCGCCGCTACTGAATGGGGATGATGCTGAGGGTCTCGCAAATACTTCATGAAAGAAATGCTATTTTTTGCACAAACTATTAAATATTTTTTTTTTGACGTTTGCTATGGAAATGTTAGGCCCAGTTCCTTCAAGATCAGGTCCACGACTCCACAGCTTGCAACAGGAGCTAACTAACATAACAATTAGCCCGCGCCGTGTTGGTGATATGAACTTTCCGTCGAGTGCTGGGGGGGGGGGGGGGGCGTTTCACGCCCCTCCGTCTAACTCGGCTCCTGGGCCACGTAGCGACACGCGGTATGCGGCAATCGAAAGAGCGTTAAAAATAAGGAGGAAAACACTTCGGTCATTTAAAGGTCAGGGCAAAGGTCCGGTCACCAGGGTTCATCAAATGTCAAATTTTGTTGATTTTAACGATTTTGAACACCCGACGGCTAACTCGGGAACCAATAGAGCTACAGCGCCGCGGAAAAGCGCATTCGATAGCTCTTTTAACGCTCTTTTGCCAACATGTCCTCAAATTTGACCTCAGATCAACGCTTTAACCCCTAGAGAGCACCGTTCTGAATGACCTCAAATTTGACCTCAGATCAACGGTGTTTTCACCGCTCAAGCACGTCTCTGTCAAAAGTCAAAAAACTGCTGAAGACCTTTTATGTCCTAAAATGACCTCAGGGGCACACACAGGGGTCACAGGTGCAATTTTCCGATCAGTGTGTCTATGGACCGGTGTTTGAGAGGGTGTAGAACGAAATTCGTCCAAAAGAGGCGCATTTCAATTTTCTCCCATTGACTTATACCTAATGGAGTAGTCGCAAAATTGTCTTAAACTTAGGTCACAGAGATAAAAAATCCGAGGTATCCATTTTATACATACTGTTAGTCTGTTACTCTCAGCAATTACTGACAGTTTCAAAGTGATCGCTCAGACGGTGTAGCTACAGCGAGCTTTCGAACCTTTTCTGAGGCAAGGTCACTTGACGTTACCTGGTGACCTGACCTTGAATGACCGGTGTCTGAAATTTTCATAACATGTGCGAAAAAGATGTCGGAACAGGTGTATATAAAACAGCGGCACTACGCGTCGCCGTTTTTTTAGATATTCGCGAAAAAACTAATTGGGGGGGGGGGCGTAAAAAGGCCCCCCCCCTCCCCAGCACGGCGCGGGTGGTCGACATAGCAAGTAGCAACTCGGACTGAACAAATGCCTTGAACGTTTCAACGGTTGAATAAGGTG